AAATGAGGGCGAAAGAAGGGTGAAATAGTCGTCAAGACGACAAGTATCATTATACTCCGTGGCCTGCTTCAGAAGTGACCTTATACATCATCTTGCTTGTGCGGACTTCGTCTTGCTGATGCCTTTAAACCTGTTAATTTGGTACTTTATTGATATAATGTACTGTATTACTAATTCCATCATTTCAGGAAAAAACACACTTTTCTGCTTACTTATAAATTCTTACTATTGTTGACATGTGGTCATGTGGAAAATTAATGTTTTCTTTTTGAACATATTTTATGGTCCACTCTGATCAACTGATGATGACCACTCGAATAGTCGAAACATATGTCTCACCATAAAGCCGGCTTATAACTGCGATTTTTTACATTTTGCAACTTGAAAATACAAATTCAGGGTTTTCTTTTTGTTGATCATCCCACTCCACTTCAGACTACCCAAAAATTATTATGACATGTCTCCATTAAGTTGAGTTCGTATTGATGACTCATATCTGGATATGAGTCTGAATATGAAGTAATTTAGGTATAATTGGTGTCCTATATTGCAAGAACTGAGTAGTGTTTTTCACTATCACATCATGGTTTTAGTCTCGTTTTAGTACCTATTGTACTGATGATGATGTGACAGGGTTCATTAACTTTGGAATCAAATAATCTCGGAAATATTTCTAAAACTTACAAGTATTATATTCTTTTGTTGACGATTGTTTCAGGTAATCCTTCTTTATGTGATCACTTTTATATATTGTAGTATTCCTTGAGATACAATTTATTTATTATTATCATTATTATAATTATTATTGTCATAATGTTCCTTCAAAAAATTAATTCGATGTTCCTTTGATTTTTTTTTCGTTTCTTGATAATAATTTCACTGTATATTTATCAATTGTTATCCAAATCGACACAAAGGCATAATTTTATACAGGGAAAATTATTTTATGTATTATTCTACAGTTTGTTACAGGGGGCGCCACGTGATTGATTCCTGATGAAATAGACTGATAACTTTTTTTGACGAAACTTGTCAGTGATTTTGATTAGAAAATATGACATAACCATCATTTCTGCGTAATATTGGTATACTTATATTTGATAACGATATTTTCATCCTTCATTGAGAAAAACGCAATTGAACAGTTCAATAAAGTCTCGGAAAAGATTTTCAAATATTATTCCATTTATGTAGAGTGTGCTTTGGATTATCAGATAATTGTTGATGCTGAATTACATTTCTTGTCAGTGAATTAATTCTGGTGCGAGTTTATAGTCAATACTTTTTCCATTGAAACGCCCTGTATCTTTTTCCCCTGCAATAATTTAATCAGGCATATATATTCGCCATATTTTGGTCCAAACAATCCACTCTCAGCCTATATCCCAATAGTTATGAATCACCCTGTATAGAACAATATTCGTACATCATTTATAAAAATATAAATGAGGTAACTCCTGAACCAAGATGTTCTATACACCCGGTAGGTATAAACAACAAACAACCCCGGATATGTCAACTTTTAGACTCATTAATTTCATAATAATTATGTCGTTTTCAGTAAGTACCTATTCTTCTGTACTACCAAATAAAATATAGTTCAAACGTCACAACAAATTCTCTTTTCTTCAGTTAGTAATTGTTATTTCAAGTGCCTACTCTGGTATCATTGGCTCAATAAAATAACTACCATTTATAACTTCCGTTTGTTGCTTGCTGAACAATCACGTTTCGTCGGTGTATACGATGTTCTGTGACTTTGTCTCATTGGTTCTACTCTTTAAAAGAATAAGTCCCTTTATTTGTATACTAGACTAGACTAGACGACTCAATATCGTCTATTCACAGAACAGAGCATAAACTAAAAATATTTCGTAAACTATCAATACAACTTCTACACACTTCTACGAAGTGAGAGGTATTTTATTTTGAAGATCAAGGCATGCAGAATAATCGATGGGTACCTAAGGAAGAAACGAAAATTTTTTGTACGCACGCACCAATGTAATAATAAATAAATAAATAATAACATTTATTGAATCCTTCACGATCATGAAAAATGACATAGGATACGTCAGACAACAAGAAGTTCACACACAATTTATATACAGATACATGAAAATATAACAGAACCACATAATACACAGAATATTCAGTCTGTAACCTTTCCTAGTACCACAAAGTATATGAAGATAAATGAAATGCATTTCATCGATTGAAATATTCGTCGATACTATAAAAACAACCGTTAATCAGAAATTCTTTGAGTTTAATTTTGAAATGATTTTCTCTTCTGTGTACATTTTTTATTTCGTCAAACAAGTGATTATAGAATTTTGCTTCCTTATAAGATGGACAATTTTCATACAGACGAGTTGAATCAGGGCCTACTCTATCTTAGAGTAGGTCCTGGTTGAATGTTTCTGAAGTCTTAACAATTCACCGTGCCTGGTAGGATACGTATGAAAGTCACAGTTTCGATCATAATTCTGCATTTGTTTCCTGAATAATAAAATACATTTGTAAATATAAATGCAAGGTACACACAAGATCTTATTCTCAATAAAGTGTTGCCTACAAGATTCTCTGTAGTCTATTCCATATATTAGCCGTATGACCCTTTTCTGTGAGACGAATATTTTGCTGAGTTTTGACGAACATCCCCAAATGGCAATATTATAAGAAATATGGGAATATACAACAGCAAAGTAAACATTTAGAAGTTGAGCCTTATCGAAAGTGGACCTCAATTGTCTAATAGCATAGTTCACTTTCTTACTGACATGATTTATACCCGACTCCCATGTCATGTTACCATCGATAAAAGTACCTCCTATAAATTTGGTGTTGTCCGATGGTTTAATTATTGCATCACCCACTCTAACATGAAGATTGTCAATTTTTCTATTAGTTCGGGGGGAATAAAACTGCATCAGAACAGTTTTCTCTACATTCACCACTAAAGAGTTTTTATTACACCACTTCGTGAACTCGAAGCTCAAGGTATTTAATTTTTCTTGGAGCTTCTCTGGGTTATCTGCAATCGCTGCAATCGTTGTATCATCTGCATACAAAACTACATAATCGGAGCTTATGATCGGGCATGTCATTGATGAATAGAAGAAAAATGAGTGGACCTAATATAGAACCTTGAGGAACCCCAAGATCAATGTCATACTGCTTCGACTGACAATTGTCGACTTTAACGTGTATCTTTATGTGAGTCAGGTAAGATCTAAGCAATGAAAGGAAGATACCCCTGAAGCCAAGTGAATACAGATTTTTGCATATAATATCGGGGTCAATAATGTCAAATGCTTTCGACAATAAATTATAAAGTTTCCAGTGAAAAACATGAAATAAAGTGAACAAATTATGCTCCTACTGCAATATGGTACACAAGAGATAAGAACTGTGAAATCAATATTCGAAAAAAGAACTGAATAAATAAGAATCTTATCTTATCACGAACTGTTGACGATTATTGTAGGTATATTATTAATCTTACGTAATAAGCGGATAAAAATATCTAGACACTATATCGTTAAGTATAATTTACTGGATATTTAAGAGCAAATAATAGTGTGTGCTCCACAATTTCGAAATTTATACTTAGGTACCATTAAAAATTATTTGCACCTGATGCAAAACTTGTCAACATTCAAATCTTTTCGAGAGTGATAAAGGTATATATACCTATCCCCTTTACTGTATTTAAGAAAAGCCAAAAACTTTGTAATTCCGCGATTTTGAAAAAAATCAAACACTGTTGGTGATTACGTGAAGACAGCAAATGCCCCCTACTCCCTCGCGACTCGCAACATTCAACGTTGATGACCGATTATTGTTTTTTGCATACAATTCAAATTCGAACTACATCAATATTTTGACTTAGAGTCGAGAGTACCACGAATCATAATGTTGAATTTTGATTTTCACACATTGGTTTCCTATAATTTCTATTATTTTTCTGCGTTACTAATGAAATTTCCGCAGTTTCCAACAAAAATTCGAAAAAGTAAACTGACGGATATCAACTTTCAACATCATCGGATAATTGTGCAGTACCTATCCAGTATTCTAAACTCAACCTGTATTTTATCACAATGTTTTGTTGCTGGGGCTGCTTTGAAACACTCATGCAACTCGGAAAGGGCAACAAAGTCACACCTATGTGGGTTCCAGGGCATGAAGGAATCAAAGGAAATGAGGCAGCTGATCGCCTTGCAAAAAAAGGTGCAGCATCTGCACTTTTTGGTCCTGAGCCTTTTTGTGGGATAAGCAAATGTCACCTAAAGGGAGAACTCAGGAAATGGGAAGAAATTGAAAAGTCTTCCTACTGGAGAGCAACTCCAGGTCAACGACAAGCGAAAAGGTTCATCAACCATTCACAGAACCGAGCCAAAGAGCTACTCAGCCCTCTGAGTCACCACCTCAAAAAGATGGGCCTGGCGGAGACTGACACTTGCCGCTTTTGTAACAATGCGACCGAAACCGCGGAACACATACTTTGCTCATGTGAAGTATTAGTCCGCCAAAGGCAGAACCACCTAGAACAGGTCTATCTCACCCCTGCTGAAGTGGAAAATTCAACCGTCAGGAAAATCGTAGGCTTCATCAGAAGTCTAGGGTTAGAGGACCAAAACTAGATAGGGGTAATCACAATAGATCTTCTAGGTCGCAGTGATCGAGAGGTCTCCCAGCCTATACGACCCATCTACAATCTACAATCTCTACAATCTGCTAAAATCATAAATGAACAGTGGCACGTTCAGCCTCTGAAATTGGAATACAAATTCCAAATATTATGTAAATTTTGATATAATTGAACTTTAAAATCGTGATACATAATTAACTACTTGGCTTATACCACACATTGTAATTGCTCATATCATAACAAAACAGATCATATATATGCTTTGCAAATAATCTTAGTCATTAAGATAAGGGAAAGAGTGCCAAAACGCACGTAGACATACTGGCTGCACTGGCTGCAACATAGTGTTACACAGTAATCTGATGATTTCTTCATAGAACTACTGAGTATTCTATGAAATGTCCTTATTTGACAAACAAGGTTCATAATATCAGTCATAGCAGTGAGAATGAATAATTAATAAAAAACATTCACAAAAATACTTTTTGTATTGCCTTCATACATCTATTTAAGATGGATATCACCAGGAGAATTGATTATTATTATTGAAAATGGATAATTTGAAAAAAAAAAGTTTCACGAGAATAATTATTTTATCGATAGTATTTTATTGCGTTCACACATTTATATACACGATTGAGCGCACCAGATGAATTTTTCATCGAAATTTATTCGGGTGAGAAATGATAGATCACTTGAAAAAGGAAACTTTATCAGTATATTGATTCAAATTCGAAATCAGTCTATATATATAGATCTGCGGTCTCTAATACCAGTCGCAACCAGTGACCATTGCTCAACATTTTAATTTCATCATTTCAATTACTTGGCTGAATGAAACATGGCGAAGTTGGACACTATTTCTCTTTGGAAAGCATTCTCTTGAAAAATTCATATATTTTTTTTAGGAAAATGCAAGAATGTTATCAAATGGAATCACCACCATCTTCAAAGTGTGTGTATTGGCATTATATTCAACCTCCACAGCCGCAAATCTCTATAATGACTTCAGATTCATATCATATCAAGGTAAACCTAACTTTTCTGGAATAGGATAGATGTTATATTTATATTGTGTATATGTTTCTGATAGATTTGCAATCCTCCACCACTGGGTTTCAATCAGAAGGAAACACGTCCTTTTCGCAAATGTTATTTGACGTATCTAGAAACCAAATCATAGCAGGCGCAAGGTTAGTATACTTATCCATTTCCTGCTATTTGTTTACAGTTTTCATAATAGTAGCCACTCAGGCTCTGCGAGCAAGAATAGAAAATGATACGATATCGGTTAATTCATTGTTTCTTACATGAAATATCGAACAAATATATAAGAACGTTTCCGGCAAGTCTCTTTGGCAAATCAATGTTTTTTAGTTTACGTATGATTCTCAAAACGATATCTTTATGCAAGTTCTGAGAAATCATCATCGGTGTATGAAATGTCGAAGACCTTTGGCACTACACTGTTTCACCAATAACCAAGCCGATTTTTTATACGCCTCGACACGTGTTTCGCTAACTATGTATTAGCATCTTCAGGAGGAGCTTAAAACAGTTTCAATATATATATATATATATATATATATATATATATATATATAAAATCGGTTTGGTTAGTGGTAAAACAGTGTAGTGCATATTATTATGTTCAAATCAATCCTGGTATGGTATATAATACCTTCATCTCAAAATATCAAATAGTTCTTCATGCAGCATTTATATGTAAAGAATAAAATAGGGAGTCAATAAGAGCCAGTAAAAGTTTTAATCTATGACCTTTTTTCAGAGACGGACTATACCGTCTGTCGTTATCGAAACTGAAACTTCTAGAATACGCAAGTTGGGCGTCACCAGATACAAAGAGAATGTCATGTATATACAAAGGGCAGAGTGAGGAAAACTGTCATAACTACATCAAGGTACTTCTCAGCAATGGTCGCCAAATTCTAGCCTGTGGAACCAACTCGTTTTCACCCCAATGCTCATGGAGAGAGGTAAGATCAATGTCCTGTCACTATAAGACCCTTAGTGTGGTTGAACCCTTTTTATTATCAATTGATCATGGGATAACCTTTATCATCCAGTTCAGTTTTTGTCTTTCAGATTGATAATATAACAAATATAAGGGATATGATAGAAGGCGTAGCAAAATGTCCCTACAATCCATCCTCCAACGTGACCGCTTTCCTTTCAGAAGATGGTGAATACTACTTCGGAGGCCCTACTGATTTTTCGGGCTCCGATTCCTTGATCTCAAAGAGTGTTGGTGCCACAATACTCAGGACTAAACAGTACAATCCTTACTGGCTGAACGAACCACAATTCGTTGGCTCCTTTGAGAGTGACAGGTTCGTTTATTTTCTGTTCAGAGAGGCTGCGGTGGAATTCATAAATTGCGGTAAAAGCGTCTACTCGCGCATAGCTCGGGTGTGTAAGAACGACCGTGGTGGTGAGCATGCAATGCTCCGAGATAATTGGACTACTTTCTTGAAAGCTAGGCTGAACTGCTCCATAAGTAGCGACTACCCTTTTTATTTCGATGAAATTCAGAGCATGTCCTACGTAGCTAACGAAAACATAGTCTACGCCACGTTTAGTACTGCTCCAAATAGCATAGCTGGATCAGCAATATGTGCATTCAATTTGACAGCTATCAATTATGCTTTCGATGGTTCTTTCAAACACCAGCAAGACATGGACAGCGCCTGGAGTAGCCAAACGAATAACTACGTAGACCATTTCAGTTGTGAACCTTCAAAGAGAGAAACCAATCTACCTGAGACCTCGAAGTACCAGCTAATGGATCTGGCTGTGCAACCTACAACTCTCAATCCTCTGCACGTAACCATTCTGGAGAGGCTTACACACTTGACTGTAGATATAGTTGAAACTAAGCTAACTAATGTCCATGTAATTTATGTGGCTACAAGTGAAGGAAAGATTAAGAAGCTGAGTTTGCTCCCTCCTTACAGGGAAACTTGTATTGTAGAAATATGGCAAGCAGTTCCAGACGTAGCCATTTCGATTAAAAATATACAGTTCCTTAAAGAAACCAACTCAGTGTACATAACTACTAGCGAGGGTTTGGCCCAGATTTCTACAGATCACTGCAACAGGCATGTATCCTATGAGACCTGTAAGAATGCGATGGATCCTTACTGTGGATGGAATGAAAGGGAGGAAACTTGTTCTGTAGCACCTGATGGCAATCCTCATTCGGGATTTTGGAGGCAACCAATGAATTCTTGCCCTGTTTTGGATACGCCAGTTGATGGAGGTAAGCTATATTCTAAAATATGTTGTGTTGTTTCAAAAGAAATCAAATCGAGGGACACGGTACTGTATTTAAGATACGGGTCAACCATGATATTATCAATTCAATATAAAATTTGGAAAGTTCCATGGTTGACTTGGAGCCTCCTGAAGTGAATCTGTCCAAATATCTCACCGAATTGGAAACTCCAATGCCCCCCAATTAAAATACTCAAAGCAAAATGTCTTCCCCACTAGGTTGGAGCACTTGGACGGACTGGTCCCTATGTTCTCACCGAGTATCCTCAGGATCGGAACAATCCGACTACTGCTATTGCCAAACCCGCAGTTGCAATAACCCCACACCTGCCAACAACGGAAAAGTCTGTACAGGCTCTCCGGTCCAAGTGGCCAATTGCACAGTTCACGGAGGCTGGTCAGACTGGTCAGCTTGGTCATCGTGTTCAGCAACATGCGGCACCGCTGTCAAAACAAGGTCGAGGACTTGCACCAATCCCGCGCCTGCGTTCGGAGGCAGAGTGTGCGTCGGCCAGGACCGATCGGAAGCGTTCTGCGCAGAATCTCCGCCTTGCCCCTCCCAACAAATAGATGGAGGATGGGGTCCTTGGTCTCCTTGGTCAGCCTGCACTGTGGATTGCGGTGGGGGGTACAGGCTGCGACAGAGGAAGTGCGATAACCCGACACCGCACAATGGTGGGCAGCATTGTAGAGGCAACGATATCGAATATGCGAGGTGCCGAGAGGAGCCTTGCAACGAACACAAGAAAACTTTAACGACTGATTGGTACGATGTTTCGACTCTGCAAAAAAGATTTAAGATAACCTGCAAAGCACCGGTGAAACATCAGAACCAGATCAAAATCCAAATAAGAGATGAAGAGAAACATTGTTCCAGCGCGAATTGCAACTATGAGGAAAACGAGTATGCAGGCTGGACTCCCTGGAATAATTGGAACGACTGCTCCGTTACTTGCGGTGGGGGTGTACAGAGACGTACGAGGTACTGCAAGAGGGGCAGAAATTGTATAGGAGAATCTACCCAGACAAGGGAGTGCAATACGCACAACTGCGAGGACACTTGGGGGTGCTGGTCAGAATGGTCTCCCTGTAATGTTTCGTGTGGTTGGGGCGTTAAAACCAGATCAAGAATTTGCTTAGGGCAGAAATGCAATGGACCCCCAATTGAACAGCAGCCTTGCGAGGATCAGCCGTGTGAAGGTTCGTTGAATGCAATATTACTGCATTTTTGAAAATCTTTCTATGAATAACAGATATAGATATTATCCTAGAAACTTTGGGAATACATTTGAATGAACCTTTGATGGTCAAGTAGTTAGTAGTATGCATAGCAGCCTTCAGTACAGGGATTTTAATTCTTTTCAGTAATATTTTCGTCAGATCATCTGAAGCGATTTCCACAAAAAATGTTTTATCGCGTGTTTTCTACCACCGTGTGATTCAAAAGTCATTATATCTTCAAATGAAAAATGTAAAAACGATAACATTTCCACGAAATTCTCAAACACACGACATATTTCGCTAAAACAGTAGCTTCGTCAGGTGATATACTGGTACGATGAACTAAACTAACCTTGGCTTGCTTATATATCCTACTTTCCCAACCTGAAGCATTAGTTACCTGTGGACAGGTTCGATGAACCTTCATTTTTGGAAGTTAGACACAATATCTACATTAAAATACGGTGTACAGGATTAACTTGAAAGGGTTGATAGCAAATATATATTTTTACTAAGGAAACAAATTCTACGATGTTACTGTGTTAGCGAAACATGGTGTGTGTTTGAGAATTTTGTGGAAATCTTATCGTTTGTGAAGTTTTTACATTTGTCATGGATTTCCATCAAGTAACGGCCAAGCCAATTAAAAAAATATCTTCAAATGTTTATTATTCTGGGTGACTACGAGGTTACTGAAAAGTCTGTAATTTGTCTGATATATCGATTCAAGAATTAATTGAACATATTATCATTCACCGGTTGCTTCCTCAGATCAACAATAAAAGTATTTTTTCGATCTAAGGTTGCTCCTGTGCTTCAAATGCAGATTTTGGGTGTACACATGTTTGACCGTCGCTTCCGTATCAACTGAAAGTACTATCAACTTCGATATTTTGAATGGGTTACCCTATACATTCTTAAATATTTCAGTTTTATCTCAAGGAAATGTTGATTGCAATTTTCATACTGACCGCCAATTTTTTCGTGTTGAGATGAAACAAATTAAATAACTTTTTAATTTCTTTCCTCTTTCCATGAGTACTATCTGTTGATGATATAATAAAATCACTTCCTGAGGTGTTACAAAAATGACTTTCCGTCTCAAATTACTCAACAATAATTTTAAGAATTGTGTTTGATTAAAATGATCATATTTTATTAGCGACTTCGATCGATGAGAAATAAAAAAAATACACCTAAATAAGAAGCTATCGATCTATACCTTTGAAGATGGTCTTGGTCAAATATTTTCAAATCTTTTGTGAATTCAAAGTTTCAGTGAATTGATCTTGATATAAAAATTTTGGATGCTTAATATGGAAAATTACTATATGGAAAACAATTGATGAATTCCGATGTGATACTTTGATGACCAACTATGCACTCTTATATAGAAGTTTTATTCCTTATTTTTGTACCCATAGAAGCCGTCGATGAAATATGATAATTGTTGAATCTGAAACACCCTGACGAAAGTTACTTGTTACTTGGTACTGAGACAGCTACTCAATCTTATTAGGTATTTTGGGCTGGGGAAATTGGACAGAATGGTCACTGTGTGATGACAACAGTGAACAACACAGGAAAAGAAGATGTTTTCACGAGAATCCAGGGCCGTACATGTGTCAAGGAAAAGCTGTCGAGTTGAGGATGTGCTTGGGTGAAATTTCGAATGGTGAGTCAGAGCATTCACGCTATTTTTTATCTCCGACGACGTTATTGATGGTATAATGGAATTCTTTCGCAATACATCTTCAAGGAATTCAAAGGTGATAATGATAGGTACTAACCCGTTGAACTTGTTTCCTTTTACACATTACATATTAGGTAAAGTTACCTTCCCACACAACATGTAATAACACATATTTCAGGCAAGAGCGTCTGCTCCTCCTTCGATATAGATTTCGAACCAGATGAAATATTTTTCTTGTTTTCGCATTTTAACATACAGGTTGATTTGAAAGCTTTCAATCGCTATAGCTTATAAACCAAATTTGATATTATGCAGATGTTTTCGGATGGCGATGAGGTTCGAGGTAGACAACAAATCATTAGTAAAATGATTACAAAGTACAAAGGTCTATTTTTTTTTTCAAATTCGGTTGAGCCATATCCGCAAGAGAGCAGTCGGAAGATTCAAAATGTATTGGAATTTTTGTCAAAATTATCGGTATTGGTACGTACTGTTTCATTGTAGAGTTGATTGGCCAAAATTTTAAATATTTTTTTTATACTGAATGTCCTTCTATGTACAATGTAATGGTACCTATATAAGTGCGGTTTCATTGTACGTACGCGTAAGCGGACAGTCTTTATAAACCACCGATTTCAAATTTAGGTCAATTATTTTCCATGATTATTTGGAATTTTCTCTCCTCGTTTCTATAAAATAAAAATATGAGTATTATTTCAATATACGTGTGGTAGTACAAATCAGATAATTTGCCCCAAAATGCCGTCACTGCGTTAATTTTTTTTTCTATCAGAGAGCGTAAAAGAATTATTCAATCGTGTGTCAGTGACAATTTGGTTTGAAAAAATATCGAAATTTTACTTATCTTTGGACGTGTCGGGAACGAATCTGCTCCCGTTTTCAACATAAAATTGTGAAATATTATTTTCTGCAAGTTGTCTTTTATAGTATGACACTTTGTCGAATCAATAGGCATACAGGAATGAAATATTTGGATCAGTATTCGTTTATACAAATCGATGCATATATTTCGGGAGGATGTAATGTTCTGCATGGCATTAGCCAGAAAAGTAGTTATATTTTTCTCAAGTCATCTACAATTGTTGTTCATCTTATGAACATTTGTGGAAATAACTTTGAGCTTGTATCTACCCAACAAACATCGAATCTCTGGCCGCCTCATGGCCCAATGCATGATCAGTCGGCAAAGTGCTGGCAACGGCTGAGCTGCAACGGGCGAACGTCGGCCCATTGTATGGCATATTGTAATCGTTTATCCATAATCCAGCCAGCACTGGACCAGTATTATCGAATAGTAATTGCCATTTCACTACGTCGTCTAAACATCGGCATACATATGTATGGTATATTTTGAAATTGTTCCCCTCTATAATCCAGCCGGCACCGGCGCCAATGAAAGGCATCCGCGCTTTACCAGACTTCATCATTATGATACTACCTACACATCAGCCCTACAGCCCTCCTGTGTAATTTCGATAAATAGAATATATGGCTACTTATGATGACAACATTTGAAACGAAATTTTATTTTGTGCATGGTTGGGAAATACTGGAAAATCCTTGATATTAGTTTGCGACATGTTCTCTAAAGACGACATTTTATATGTTTTAGTGCTACCTATATATAAAGATGAACCTTCCGACAATCATAGAGAAATAATAAACGTCATAATTTACCTATATTATATTATTTTCCGTTCTTTTACATTCCTATCACTGATTTCTGTGATTCCTATTATATACCTACATTTCCGATATACCTAAAACGACCCATATCCCATAGCTCACGAAAACATCTGCAGTATATCAGAAATTGCTCACAACCTTTTCTAGGTTACTAAGGGAAACTGAATTGACTCATTAAAGAACCTACCCCCATCAACCCCTCAAGTCATAACCACCAAAAATAGAATCTATCTAATTCGGTTCATGAGATACATGCAATTGTTACCTACCTACTCAATTGTAAATGTTCTTTATTTGATCCACATTGTATTAGATTTGACTTCAAGAAATAACCACTAGATATAAAATCACGGGAATATTTGTCAGGCAGTTGAAGGTGATACCACTATACTGCACATTTTATTACACAGAATGATCAGTATAGGTACCTAATTCAATTAATGGAAGATACTCATACATTTAAAAGAAAATCTTATGACACAAGATATAACATTTCAGATTTTGATAATGCTGAGATTCTTTATTTCATTCCAGAAATTTTTGCACTAGGAAACCAAATGGAGCAGTCTTCCTGTGTCTCAATAGGACTATCCTTCTTCTTCATTGGTGCCATTGTGGGTATTTTACCAGGCCTGATATATTTGATATTCTACATACTCAGGAGGAAGAAAAACACTATTCCTAGTTCACCGCATTATATGACTGCTCAACAAAATCCATACATATCCGTCCCAACGAGAGAAAAACTGTCAAAGAAACAAAACAACTGTTCTAGTTCATGTTCTCCAAATGGGACAACAAAATCCATCAAACATTACGCGGACGATTTTGAGGTCCCGTCAATGACTTTGAAGAGGAATAGTCATGAAGTTAGGAATGGTCATTCCAAGCTTTATGAGGGTGACAAGTTCTTGTATGACTGATATAGTCTCACTGATTATGGATTTTTGGATTTCATAATAAACACTTATGATCTTGATATTGTGATGTTAATGTGGGCTACAGCAATACACAATTCTAGCATGTTTTTGTATTCTGTGATTTTTTTTTCAAAGACACTGTATATTTATATTCAATACCTATATATACTTAATTCCTGTTTGAGACTTGTTGTCAATGGGTCAAAATTACTATTTCCTATTTTTCTATACTGCTGTGTCATATTTTCTATTTATGAAAGTTTAGCTGGAAAAAGATTATGCTTAATATATTATAATTTACACAGATTTTGGTCCATTCGATGTGCATTTTACATTAAACTAATTTTGTGATAAAGTATATAGTGCAAGAATTCGATTGTGAATACGAGAGAAAATAAGTTTATCAAATCACTTCCTATACAAGTTGTTAGGTTTGTTAATCTGTGACATAATATAGGAGTATGGCATTTGGCAACGTTGCCAGCTACGGAGAATGGTGGTTGTTTCACTGTAGGAACCTAGCGAAGACGTGGGATATAGCCGCAATCAGTCTCTTGCGATGTTGCCATCCAAATGCCCTATAATATGTAAAGTCTCGATAATAAACGACCTGTATATGATGGTTAGAACTTTTATCCAGTATTATATGAGATCGAGGAATATTTTTTATACAAATCATGGACTATAGTTATATGAAAAGATAATATAGTAACTGTTTTTGATCACTATATATAATAACTTAGTTGTATGAATTTGAAAAAATTTTATGAATCTGTACCTGCTTAATGACAACTACTCAGATAGTAAACATCAATATACCTACCCAACTAACTTTTCTTCTGATTGCCATAACATTATACAATGAATAATATAAATATTAACCATGCAAGAATGAAATAACCCCACAGATACTTGCTAGAAGATTGTTTCTCACATTGAGAAAATAGAATGAATAATTTATTTCAAATACATGATTTTATTATTCAAATGAATACTCGTTTTCTTTTATTGCATACTCTCTGTCACTTTTGTGCCCTACATCAGATGAAAATATCATATATACTATTGTCAAAAAACACTATACACATATACAGCGTGGAGACTGACTGGTATGAATTCATTAGTGGGGAAGTGAAAAATTTTTCTAAAAATTCCCGACATATGTCAACGATTTAATGTATTCACCTACCTTTTGAAAGCAATATCGAGAATATATATCCCTCCAGGCGTAGCTGAAACCATCCTCAACATGATTTTTTTATATGTAAAAGCCTATGGCTTGTGACCCCTCATTGGAAAGCTGGTAGAAAGAGGTATCCAGCGTACTAGACTATACGTTTAAAGCTAGCATACAATTAATATTTAAGTAATTTTGAAATTCATTTTTTTTTAATGTATCAATCGCTCAAAATGTGTGTTGAACAATTGATGGCAATTTTTTGTCACAACTGCTATCTGCTATCATATTCCAGTGTTTTTATTGAGCCGCAAAAAAAATTTAGTTTTTTTGCTTGAAACGAAGTGTTATTACGAACTGCGGTGGAAATGCTATATGACTATCACTAAAAGACGAAGAAATTTTGATGAAAATATGTTGATTCTATATTGAACTTCGAAATTGGGTGCGTTTTTCATTCCAACATTTTATCATGCGCATGAATCGAAGAAACCATCAAACTGTTGCAAAATTCCGCTGGAATGTTGATGGACATCCATCAAACTGTTGTAATAAAATGCGCACTTTTAAATCGCATTTCGAGAATTCAGCAGTTTGGAGGAGATTGACATGACAGTTGACACATTTTAGTGTTGTTTTTTGTTTTGATTTGATAGAAAACAATTAATATTGAGGATTTTTGAGATTCTTGAGAGATTTTAGAAGAAAGAGTCAGTGTTAATCAATAAAGTCGAATTAGCCTTTTCTGATTCTCAAGATACATGATGACTGACACACAACAAAATCCGTGTTTCCATCAATGTGTTGTATAAACCATTGTTCAATCCTTCCAGCATAAATTCCAACAGAACAATTGGTGACGTCACGACAAAAAACCGCATCTATCAGTCCGCATTTTCTTCGATGGAATGAAAAACACGCCCATATGATTTTATGCGACCCCCAAACGTACTGCAAAACTGAAATATGATCAGTACGCTAGATTCCTCTTATTTCAACCATCTTTCCAATAACGGGTCGCAAGTCGCAAGTGATAGGGTTGCATTTGAAAAAGACATGTTGGGGTCGATTCCAGCTACCCCTGGAGGGTTATATTCTCTATACAGGGTATGTCACGGCGAGCTTACACTATCTCTATATCGAGAATCAGTCGGGAGAAACACATGGAAATATGCATGGTTATATTTTACAATATGTTCTCTTAAAATTAAAATAATTTCAGCAATGCAGTATTGCCGCTTCTATCAAAAAGTAGCAACAACTTTGTTATTTCAAATGGAATACCCTGTATTTCATTGCATTTTTAAATTCTCCTTGAAGAGCTGATTTCATCAATATATCAAACATGGGTCTATCGGAAATGATTACAGAGATATAGGGTGTTCAAAATCGAGATTTTTCAACTTGAGGATTTGTTTTTGTCGAAACTATACATTATCGACCAAAACGGTTCACATGTCCCTATCTCAACTTTTGATTTACTATTTACTTATATTTAATCGGAACAGATACAGGGTAATCAGAGTTCTGAATCAATGGATAGTTTCGACACAAAAAAATACTAAAGTTGAAAAATCTCGATTTTGAACACCCTATACCTCTGTAACTTTTTCGATATAGACCCCAAGTGTGATACATCAATTAAATCAACTCTTCAGGAAGAATCTGGAAATGCGATAAAATACAGGGTGTTCCATTCGAAATAACAAAGTTGTTGCTTCTTTTTGATAGAAGCGGCAACACTGCATTGCCGAAAATATTTTAAATGAAGAGAGTGTATTCTAATGATGATTCTAATATATAAGCATGCATATTTTCAGGGATTTCTCCCGACTGATTCTTGATATAGAGATATAGTGTATAAGCTCGTCGTGACATACCCTGTATTGCTTGCCAAAGGTTGACATGTCTCACCAATTTTAAGAAAAATCATTCACTCCCCCAGTAGCGAATTTATTCCAGTTAAAGTCTCCACCCTGTATGTATTAGGTACCTATAGGTTACAAAGTACTTATTTTCTAGTGAAACAAAAGGTAGGTAGGTGATGTAAATTAGACCTTGCGTGAGCATCCTTGAGTAAACCAAAATTACATGTTATTTCATTACCAATAGGAATATATGAGTACCCATATTCCATTTTCATTCAATGAAAGGAACTGCTTTGTTGATAGTTGAACCAGTGAAAGTAAAATATATACATACCACAGTACCATTATCCATATCCATTATTTCTATACAATATTCCAGAACCAATTTTTGGTTTATATCAAGAGCTGTTATTGGAGTAGTGTAGCCTAATCTACAATAGTTGCATTGAATTCTTTTTGAAAACCTGTAACAAATGCCTTAATTACTTGAAATCTTGAAAACACAACTAATCCACTTTTTAAATTAATAAAACTCACTGTGAAGTAGAAACTCCTGGGTGAAAACATAAGTTTTAAAGGGTGGTGTTTTTACGATATAAGTAAATGCCAAACACAATCACAACTGCAATTATATATTATGTAATAAGCACCAAAAAAATTCAAATTGATTGGTCATATAGCAACCGTTACAGATATTAACCCAGACAGCACCAGATATTCCATGAATCTCCCTATCATATTCCTTCTGGAATATTGGAATATTCTAGAAATAATCTGGAATATTCCGGAATATCTGTGGAATATTCTCTAAATATGCGAATGGGAATTCCTCAGATAATCATAGAATATACCCAAAAGAATATTCTATGTTGAATGTTCCTGGAATATTCCAATAAACATATTCTAAAATAAAAAAAAGTGACCCAAGTAGGGATCGAACTCGTGACCTCAAGACTATCAGAGCAACGCCTTGACCACTAGGCCAGTAATCGAATTGAATAATGTTATACATATCAAGTTCTAGTGAGAGCATTGTTCAAAATCGGATCATAAACACTTTTTGTTTCAAAATCCCCTTACATCTAATTGATGTTCGATACTCACATCTCTGAAATAATAAATGGTATTTATGTGTTGAGAAACATATAGGAATATTCATGGAATATTTCATGAATATACACCACAGAATATTCAGTAGAGAATATTTCATGAATATACCGCACAGAATATTCAGTTGGGTATATTTCATGAATATACCGCACAGAATATTCAGTTGGGGATATTTCATGAATATACAACAGAGAATATTCAGTTGGGAATATTCCTGGAAGATTCATACCTGAATATTCCCTGAACATGTCCGACTATTCACTTTGGAATATTCCTTTTAGATGTTCCAGAGGCATGTATATATTCTAGGAATAATCGATGAATATTCGGAATATATACTCCTCCTTTTTAGCATATTTAGAGAATATTCTATGAATATCCAGTGCTGTCTGGGAAGATGCCCATATATAACCCCTACTATATCAGTCATTTTGGCTACAAATACAGCGCCCCCTGAAAATCAATTTTATTAAAAAAAGACGATCAAGATTTGTTGAAATCCTTGGTTAGGGTTAGCATAAATAAGAACAGAACTCTTTTCAACGTGTATTGACGTCTTTCTGCCTGCCTATTTATATAAGGGGTTACTTGAAAGAAAAAAACGTTTCTTAAAATCGTTCAATATATGCTGGAGTGACTCCGAACTCCGAGTACTGAATCCACTGCGTATCTTATGGTTAGGAGGGCAGAGCTGAATCAACCACAACTTCATCATGTTCGCGATAGAAATTCAGATTTAGTTTGAAGAATAGTGTGATCAGGGTTTTAGGTGTTCACCGGTCTGCTGATAGCAGCAGCTTTAGGATTTGTCTCCCAATTTTTATTGATTTTTCTTGGCTTGTTACCCCTCATTGGCAAGCTGGTGTAAAGAGGAATCCAGCGTACTAGTCAAATTTCAGATTTTCATGCATTTAAGGGTTGCATAAAATTGAAATGTAAGTTCAAAATTCAATTTGTTTTTTAACGTTTTCATCGCTCAAAATGTGCGTTGAACAATCCAGTTAAAGTATCCACCCTGTATAACCATGTTATTAAATCTCATCAAAAGTTGCAATGGAAAAGTATTTTCAGTTTTTCTGTATATATCTCTAATAACATAGAAGAAAATTTGCGTTCCAAAAATTCTTTTTTTTTTCAATGTAACTGAAAAAACTATAAGCAATTTTTGAAATTTCTGAAGGCCGTTGGCATGACCCTCAGAATGCGCAATTTTTTTCCCATTATACCGAATTCGTAATTCTATTCCTATTTCTTCCCATGTCTGAGATCCCCATGCTGTGCAACCTTATCTTGGTCACACTGTAAATCTAAACAGTGTACCGTAGAATGGGGTGACTTGATAAGATTTTTGACACACTTCCATAGATTGCGACCTTGCCATGCAACTTTCAACCAAACTAAAAATAGTCACCAACTCTTTCGACCCTAAAGAACAGAACGATACATTAAAACCGTTTCTATATAGTGTAGTTTTCGAAAAAAAAAATGTCAAACGTCATATTTCAAGTCACCCCAATATGGGGTGACTTGAAATATGACTTCTTATCAACGATTATTTCAAGTAGGATGGTCTAGGTGGTGACATGAAATGAAAATTAAATAAAAAATATATAGAAATCATCAATTTCATAAAAAAACACTGTGTTTTAGAACAAATATTTTTTAGCAAAATACAAAAAAGATAAAAAACTACAAAAATAAACAAAAAATCATTAGACTGAAAGACTAGTTTAGCTTCTTCCGTTGACATGCGACGTTGCCACTACTTCAAAATTTTCACTGCATTTTATTTCAAGTCACCACACGATTTCAAGTCACCCCATTCTACGGTATTTAGATTTATGTAAATACTAATGCCATATTATTGAATCCTTGAAACAGGAAATGATAATATTTGATACCTTGAAATTCCATTCTAATTAAATGTTCAGGAAATATGGGTAACATGTACATCTGAGAGAGACTACCTACAAAACTAATATCAATTCAATCTATGAATTCCCAATAAAGATATGTTTACTTTCAATAAAATGCATACATTGCTTTGTGAAGATAAGCAAATTGTTATATTCTGCTAAACTTACATAATTAGGTACCTATACAATGTTGTTTACATAAAATTTCACATCAATAACTTTTATAATCACCCTACCTATGGTGAAATAATTATCAATAACATATAATAAAAATAATAGTAGGTCTCTACTATCCTTCCTGGAGTTCAGCTACATTTTGTATTCTTGAACCTCTCATAAAATGTTCATTATGATCATACCTGTCCAAGCAAAGTGTTTTACAAAATGTACTTTTCCATTAATTCATAATTATGTTCAATGGATGGACCAATTTTCCTTTAGTTGTTAAAGAAACAATGAAAAGTTATCAACATTGAAAAATATGGTACAGGAAATTGATATTCAATTTTTATGAACACAATATTAGTCATCAAATTATAAAATATATAGGTAATGAAATGAATCACAGGCTGTTCTAACTATCAACCAAGCTGGTGCAGTGTTAAATAACATTCATAGACAATGCATAGTTCAAAACAAGAACTGGAATTCATTCACTTCTTCTTTATTTTAGGAGAGGTTGACTGAAATACACTTGATGCAGACATCAAATTTTCAATATACTGGCCAAGCACTTGGTTTTCAGAACGTAGTTTCAGATTTTCTTCCTTGACACTATCAACCCTCTGTGACAGGTCATCCAGAGTATTTTGTAACTCTAGAACTTGAGATATCAACCTGGCTTTCTCCTCCTGTTCATCAGGACTGGAATCAGGTTCTAAGCTATTATGCTGGGGGCTAGAACTACCATTTGTGAAGGTGGACTGTATTGAGTCCATGCTCCTACCATGAATCATACTAGATGAATTTCCTTCTGATAATGATGCAGGCTCAGGCTCATCGTTAATAATAACTGTTAACAGGAGCAAAGTTTTTGTTAGATATGCACTTATTTTTTCACATTATTCAATATTACCTTGTGGATCATCATCTGCGAGAGGAATATTATTGAAATCATCTTGTAATTTGATGCTGGACATGGAATAATCTTTAAACAACTATATTAAATGAAAATATATGCAATATGATTGTTGATTTTTTCTTAAATATGAATTCTTCTTCTTCTTCTGTTAATTTTATTGGTTTTCTGACTCCTTGCGATAATGTAAACAAAATGTCAGCTTGTCAGATTTGAGTTGTATTTTCTTGTTAAACAGTGTTCAAAATTGATTTTGAACCGTTTTCAAGCGTGACGTATAGTAATCTTATCTCTCATTGCTCATTCATTCAATTCATTTAGAAAACAGACTACAGTAACAGTACACAGTCAAGAGTCAAGCAGTCAAGTCAACAGAAACAGAACCTACTATTCTTTGTCAACATGTCAACAGACTGAGGCCAACAGACACAGACCATTTTGAAATGAAAGCTGTCAAAACAAAATCAATAGTTGCGCTTAATTTGTTGGTAACGGTGGTGAGAACAGAATGACGTCATTCTACGTCATTCCTTCTAGTGAGACAGAATAAAAAGTAGCAACCGGAATCGGATAATTGAGTGATTCCAGTAGCGGAATCGGATAAGTAAAACGCAACTAATGATTGCTTATACAACCTGAAATCTATAATTTCAATGATTTAATTGATCTGTGTAATTGTAATGGAATCACAAGTAGAGTTTCCAGTTGCTCCTGACAAAATATACACATTCAGCCAAGCCAAAACAAAACTGAAAAACATTCACAACTTCAAACGGCAAACTTCGACATTTCCCCACCCCTCTACTTGGTTCCGTGGTTCGAATCGTTTATTCAGAAGTTTTTGAACCGGAATGAACCGTAATACTTGGTGACGTTATAACTTAAACAAAAAAATGCTAGTTTTCACATCGTTTTGAACACGGTTCGACAAGATAAAACAACTTTGATTTTGACGAAATGAAAATAATGACAATAAACCATATATCTACTACTTATATGAAATAAACAAACGTCCGCAACCTAAGAATTCATATTCACCATTTGCACTCTAAGGCTATGTTCCGAATTCAACCGTCAGTGTCAGTACATGACTGTTCTCCTTCTCCTTCCATCATTTATGAGAATATAGCCAGGCAACTGTCAGTATTGAATCTGCTGATTTTTCGATCCCAAAACAAAGAATAAATCACTCAAAGTGACAGATACTTGTGAGCAGACATACTATCCATTCCAAACATTTCAACTCAACATTCTGCTGGATTCGCTGACTATCAAAAGGTACTGCAGTGTGGCATCATAGTTCAGTGAACTGTCATTATTTTAGAGGGGGAAGGAATGTAACATTTATTTCCGTTGTTTTTCAAACCCTTATAGTCCTGTCTTATCAATAATACATCAATGATATCATTTTTGATATCAGAAAATGCCTGTTGATAAAATAATTGACGCTGAAAATGATGGTCAAATTTCCACAGCTGATCAAATCGACTGCTGAGTACTGATGAAAACCACGGAAACGTGTTCCGAATCAAAGCACTTTTTTGATTTTATATTTCGGAACACTGATTTTCAGCAATCAGTAGATTTGCTGACCAGCAGTGGGACTCTGTAACTTGTGTCGCATAGCGAAAGCGTAGCGAAAGCGAAACGAAGCGAAGTATACGACTTCGCTTTCCGGTACTCTATATGTAATTCGTTATGCTTTCGCTATCGTCATACGATTTCATACGAAATAGAACGAAGTTGGTGGAGTTAAATTTGGCAACAGTGTTGCGGATCCCATTTATTCAAAGGAAACATCCCATTGGATCAAAAAAGCGGCATTTACGAATTATTGTATTGTTAATTTTTGGTTTCAATCAGAAATAAAGCACTTGGAGAAGTTTCCGAGAGAAAATAAATTCAATAAAACATCAAAAACACATATGAAGATGATTTATTTCTATGAATTGGAATGCGAATGTATTGACTAAAAACAGATATTAACATCAAGGCCAACAAAAATAGTAATCAGCAAAACAAGAACTTATTCTGCACAGAGCAGCTCATTGGAAAATATGTACCTACTTTGTTCATATAAAAAATTGGTATTTATATTCTCACTAGCTATATCTCAGGTATATAGCTTTCTATTTATATGCAACTAGTAAAGGCAAATGATCTGAGAATAACAATAATATTGTAAGATATGTAATAACTGCTTAATTTATAATGGACATATCATTCTATAATCTAACACTCAGTATATTATTATTTACATACTATAATGTAATACCTATCAGAACTTGCTTCTCTATGTTGCAAATTAAACAAGATGATAAGCACATATAATTCCTTGAATCGCCTTCTGCAAGGCAGCTATATGTTGACAGTGCATTTATACAGATGCACTTTTTCTTACAGTTCACTTTAGAATCTTGGATGGAATTATTAATGTAGTGAAAGTAGAATCCGTTGTTGTTCTTCTTCAACATAGTAAATAATGTTCAGTTAATCCTGTTTCATGGAATTTACTCTTGATTCTCCCTTATTGGTACACAGTAATATTACACAGTTCTTCTTGGGTGTCTCCAAGGTTTTTGCTATCCAAATTATTTTCCCTTCCAATGCACTTATTATGCAAATTGTTCAAATTTGAACGTTCCAGGCTTTCTGTTATGTTTCACTGTTGTAGGTATCGGCATATTATATTAGTAGGATTCTTTTATTACCTATTATTGTCTTCTTCAATGGACTCACACCAAAGACATATTTTTCTTAACAAGGATTCAGTGAGACAACATTCAGTGATGGCACATTTCATTTTTTGAAGAAGCTACTTATATCTGCCTGTTTTGATGTATCAGGAATCTAAAAGAGAAGGATAATTCGAATGAATATGAATTATTCCAGACCCTATTCAACAGCACTAATGACAGTTTTCAGTTTATTTTTCAACTACCAAATGAGCACACTGTCTATCATATTTTTTATCTCACGTCTCACGTTCTCTCATCCCCTACCTTAATCCTACCAAAGGGAACTTCCATCTCTCTGGAATATCTTTAGGATTTTGTTCGTAAAAATGAGGAATCTGTCCCACTGACTGAGTTGTGTTTTTGCTCGCTTTGTTATCCATGTTTGGGTTCATTCCTCATTTATTAATCTATTATTTTTCTCAAATCAACACAAAGTTCGAACTAGGAACAACAACAAAAACCAATACCTATAACCTCAATCGTTGAGAATCGCAGAAAGCGGCAACCAAAATCCTTCGCTTCTGCTTCGCTTACGAACTCACGTTCGGCGTCTCCGACCTCATCCGAATATTGATACAGAGTACCGAAACGGCAAAAGCAGTCGATTACGCATGCTTTCGCTTTCGCTTTGAGTTACAGAGTCCCACTGCAGTTGAATTCAGAACATAGCCTCAAGCTCAGTTTTCTGCTAGGCTATTTTGGCTTTGGCACAGAATACGATGCTAGCGATGAAACGTGTGATGTTATTATTGGTCAATTTCAGCTTACTAATCCGAATTAATCAATAATATCATAATTACATTTTATCGCTAGCAACGCCAAAGCCAAAATCGCCTAGCAGAAAACTATTCATCAGTTGGTACTCGAATGCAGATAGTTTGGTCACTAAAATGTCAATGTCCAGAAGGCCTGTCATGTCACCGACATCAATAATGGCTATATTCCTAATTCAACTGGTCAGTACTGTCAGTAGATCCACTGACTCTGCTGAAAATCTGCGTTCCAAAATATAAAATCAAAAATACAGTGCTGTAATTCGGAACACGTTTTCATCGGTACGTGATAGTTCAGTGGTAATCAGCAGCAGTTGATTAGCTGGTGAAATTTGTCTATTGTCAGGTTGTCACTCTGGTTTCGTTCATCTGGCCAATTATTCAAATAACAGGCATTTTCTGAGATTAGGAATGATATTATTAATTTATTATTAATGAGACAGGACTTAATCTTTAAAAACCCACGGAAATAAATGTGACATTCCTTCCCTCTCAAATAATGACAGTTCACTGAAGCCACACTAACTTCTGATAGTCATATAGTCAACAATTTCAGCAGAATGTAGAGTCGAAATATTTGGTTGGAATACTTACAAGTATCTGTCACTTTCAGTGGATTTTTTTTTATTTCGGAATGAAAAATCAGCAGATTCTTCAGTACTGTCAGTTGAATTCGGAATATAGCCTATATCCATCTATGTGTCATCAGTCATCATGTCATCAATGTCATCATTATCATGATGTCTTGAAGAAGTAAACAAAGGCGATAGCGGAATGAATTTTTAAACATTCCACTTAATTTCATCCATCTATTTACGCGACAAATAGTCTAATAACAAGCCTTGTTTCCATATTGCACTGCTATAAAGGTTGATAGTAGTGCAGGAAGATTTCCACTGACCGATTCGCTTTCACATCTTTAGACACATGGAAGGGTTTGATGCAATTTATTATGAAGAGGAATTGGAAAATAATGAAGAGAATTCCCCTGGTGATATTTCTCTGGTACCTGAACCTGTTATAATACGTGGTGCTGGAAATATGACTGTGTATGTAATGGGTTGAAATTCAGAAGAAATACAATAAAATTGCTTATGTCATTCCAGATTTGGTTTAAGTAATAGATTCAGTACAGAATTCCCCAGTGGCTTAGTGTCTAGGGTGGCACCAGAAGAATTCAAAGAAAGTGTAATGCGCATAAATGGAATTCTTAAAAAAACACTCCCAGTTAATGTGAAATGGTTATTTTGTGGATGTCTCTGTTGTTGCTGCACATTAGGATGTTCTTTATGGCCTGTTATATGCCTTAGCAAAAGGGTGAGTAAAAATTAATTCCAAATTTTGCATGTATTGTGAAATATCTGAATCCTAATAAGTTAATTGATTCAATAAAGTACTATGATTTTAATAATATTTTATAGTAGTAAGTGAGATGCTTATACTAGAAGCATCTCAGTAGTAAGGTATCAATTTCAAATCATTCTGTTGATCCATAATATTGGAAAACATTTCTGGAGGATTTGATTTCATGAAATAAAAATTCATCTACCAAAACAAATTAACTTGCTTCAAATACACTGTTTCCAACTTCTTTCATTCTTCTTCCATACTAACATAAACTGTTGGGGATGTATATCATTTTGTTTTTTTTGCAGACTCAACATTCCTTGAATAAATTATTAGAGTGGGAAAACAGTTATCTTTACAATAAATTAGGACTCCATTGGAGGCTTAGTAAGCAACATTGTGATTCTTCATCAATGATGGAATATGTCATACTGATAGAGTTTTTACCAAAAATACCAATTTATAGACCAGACTAACAAACATTTCATTCAGTATTCTTGTAAATATTACTATTAATTCACCTAGTTATTCAATCATGAATCAAATTGGTCAACTAACATGTGAAAATTCAACCTAAATGTTTTGTTGGCAGTTTATGTTGGTTTGTTAATATTTTACAATTCCAGATGATTTTGATGAGGTACTATATACTGAGATATTTCAATAATTGATTTTGAATTACAGAAGAGTAAACATCCATCAATTGATATTCACATCTATGTCCAAATTTGTTTTGAAAATTTGTGAAGAGTAAACATGAATAAACATATTAAAACTCAATTCTATGTAAAATAATATTTTCAACATTACAAATAGGCACCTACTGATATTCCTGAATATATTATATACAATCATTGCATTCTGTTGTTTACAAAACTGTCTTTATTGAAATTTTATAGATAGTAAAAACCTGGTTGAAAACTGAATATATAATATAATTTCTTCAGAAAAAAAAAAGACAGGAGATGTGATGAATAAAAATGTAGCCTGTAAATATTTGATATCTATGTGATAATATTCATATAACATTGATTACAAATTTTGAATTCTGAATTGTTATCCAACACCTCTATTATTGAATTTGGCTCAATATTTTCATAAGGTAGGTTTAATATTGAGGAATTTTGTATTATATTTGATCACTGATTAATTTGTTATGAAATTAGTGAATATGACTGTAGGCAATATGTTGTATGATAAGTTTATTATTACTTTGAAATTTGTAAATTGTACTATTTCAATAATTTTCAGATGTATATCTATGGTTGCAATTCACTTTTTAATGTTATCCCATTTCTTCCTGTTATTGCTAGTTTATAATAAAATGTTGATATCAAGTTTTGTTTTATGTTTCCATTGCATTGATTCAGTTAGATTCAGCTGTATTTCCCAATATAAATGGTTTCACACCCTAGCAGTTGTTACCCCATAACTCAAGGATCTGTTACATGAATGCAAACAACTCAATGAGGTCCAACTATAAATGAATTGGATACTGAAACTTTTTTTAATAAAAATATCTATATTTCATTATATTATTTGGTGTCAATACAATAAAAAATATATCTTTTGGTTTATGCAATGAGTGGTATTGTTAGGACACATCTTTGATTTGAACATTTCAAAATAGACCTGATATATTCTTCAATTATTTGCAAATATGAATAAATTTATCAAATTGTCATTCATACACCATATAAATTTGATGAAAGAGTAAAATGACATGGATTTGAAGTTCAATAAGGGTTAATATAGTGTAAATATGTTTTATATCAAGATATTTCTTTTTGGAGAAAATTATTTTTCCAAGTTTAGTCAACTTTGGAAACTTATCACAATTTTTTGAAATTAATATAAATATGAATATATGAACTTTCTGCATTTTATACTGTAGTCTCAAGGTGTCAATAATGTTCTGAATGTTAAACTAGTGTATTTCTTTGACATGAATGTAATGAGTAATTATTGATAAATCAGGAATGCAATGATTATTCCAATGAGTGATTAAAATATATCATACTTGTGGAATTCTATCTACAAAATTACTTGGGAACTGTCCACATTGACCCTCACTCTCCCCATATAGCCAATCTACATTGATTTTTCTAATAACCTTGACCATTTGACCAGCTCTCAGACCCAAATCTCCAGGCATTTGTGGAGAGAACTCATACAAAGCCATTACAGTTTTATCATCTTGATTCAAAGGTACTATCACATCTATGAAGTTTGCTGGAAAGATACCTTCTTTGTCAAGAAGTCTTCCATAGTACCAATCATTATTTATTCTCTTCAGAAGTATCACCACATCCTCTGCCTGAAAAAAAAAAGAAATATTTCAATCTAGTTCTTGTTCAAAATATTCTGCAAGAAAATTTATGGTGCAAGGCAGAATCTAAAGAGAGTGTTGCTTACTTGGAATGACAAATCAGCTGGTTCTACTCCATTGAAATCAAATAAGGCAATTCCATAGGATAGATTAATATGTTGTACTTCTTTTGGTGGGCTTGGTGGAGGTACAGAAGGCATTGGCAAAGTTGATGATTGGGGATCACTCTCTATGCCCCTATTTATATTATTTTCATGTGACATTCTATTTTTGGGGGTTTGGGCTCTTATTATGGTAGGTCCAAATAATGAAGGCATACTTTGTTGTGATTGATTATTGAGTTTTGATGTTGATACTATATCTACAATTGGATTGCTTACTTTTCCCAAAACTTTTCCATTGTCACTTGCCTGTCTTGGAGCCACTCTAGTGGGAAAGTTGTTTTGTTTATTATGAACAACTTGTTTTGAAGAATCAAAGTTTGTACTGATGGGCCATAAGTTATTGGAGAGAGGAATATCATATTCGAAACTCTTTTTGCTAGAAGCCAAACTACTGGTACTACTATTAAATGAACTTGATACACTCCCCCCAAAATTGTGTATCCTCTCAACCTTTGGTGACTGTGGTGGGCTCAAATCAATCAAATCTTCAAATTGTTGGTTAAAACTGAAGGTGGACTCACTTCTATATTTCGAAAAATTAGGAGGTGGAGGCCTCGGTGGTGGTTTTCTTTTATTTTTCTGTACCAGTTTTGATTGTGCGATAAATGACATTATAGATACATTATTATATTTGTAACTAATCAACAAATCAACAAGTATTTTGAGTTTTACACCTTGACAGTTGACACTAGTGAAGTCACAGAAGTGAAGTACTGATAAATGTCTCCCGCAAGTAATTCAATTAGTAGCATCAGAGATAATTTACGGATTAAACGACTTACCTGGTAAGGTAAGGAAGTTCAATCCTAATTATACGAGTGGTTCCGTAGAGTAGGTCACGAGTGTAGTGTGCTCCATTGCTGTCGAAGAATCATACAGTACATTCAAAGAAACGCGCCTCTACATCTCGGTGTCCCGTCGTTACTGTCATCTGTCACCTCATTGCGAAATCCAATTTATTAGATCGCAGGGGGTAGAGCGGGAATTTTAACTGGGTGGGTCTGACCTACTCTACGGAACCACTCGTATAATTAGGATTGAACTTCCTTACCTTACCAGGTAAGTCGTTTAATCCGTAAATTATACTTCATGGTTCCTTCGAGTAGGTCACGAGTGTAGTTGTTCAAAGATCAGCGATCTAATGCTCAGGAGACGCTTTAGTTCAATAACTATTTATTTTACAAAAAATATATAAATTTATTAACAAATAATTTTCATGTACATTACAGGTTGAACTCCTTGACAAAAAATTCATGTTTCCTGCCTGCTGCTGGCATTATTAATTTTTTGTTCTCAGACTCAAAATACTTTCCTGGAAGCCATTAGCTTGTTGAACTGGTCTATTATAAAACCTATTGAAACTTGTAGATCTATCTGACCATCCAGCAGTTGTTCTAATTATGTCTATACTTAATCCTGTTCTAAGGGCTGCCGAAGAAGAAGCATGTCTTGTGCTATGAGATTTAAATATTTGGGTGTTAATACCACATTCCTCAAGAGTATCTTTCACCCATCTGCTGATTGTTTGTACTGAAGCAGCCTTGTAAGGTCTCTTGTGACTTATGAATAGGCTATCAAGGCTATCATTTTCCTTTCGTATATCTCTTGTTATTTTTAGGTAATGTCTTAAAGTAATAGCTACACATAACCCTGGTTGCTCAGAGAATAACTTAAAACTTAACAAGGGTTGTGGAAAGTTGGGCCTAGATGTCTTAATTATGTCGGTTATAGGGATATCAATACTATCCTTCTTCTGAAGGATATTGCTAATTTTTATTTTTGAAAGTGTTTGCATTCGCTGAGCAGTTGTCAAAGCCATTAAAGTTATTAGCTTCTTTGTAATTTTCTCTAAGGTTAATGATTCCAGTGGGTACCACCTCTCTAGTGTTAATAACACTGGGGTTGGATCCCATGTGAATTTATATCTAGGAAATGATGGTCTCAGTTTGAATACACCCTTAAGGAACCTTCTTATGTTTTCATTGTCTTTTATATTATGACAGATTAAGGCCAATGCTGAGCGAATGCCACATATTGAAGAATAGGCTGCCCCATGAGAATACTGAATTTCCATAAATCTTAAAACATCTTGTGCTGAAGCTTCATATGGACAAATAGATTCTGCCATGCAAAATGTCCACCACTTGCCATATGTTGAACTGTATTGTCTCAGAGTTGCTAGCGAAAATGATGCTAGCATGGTATCTATAGTACATTCTGGAGCTCCAGACCTTAACAATGATGCCCTGATAACCTCCCTGCCACCAGGGTAAGGTTCTTCCAAATTGGGTGGCTGGTTCTGAAAGGAGACGTTAGTAAGTATTTATCTGGTTTAAATAGAATTGGTTCATCCACAAGCATTCTAATGAATAATGGGTACCATGGTTGTGCTTTCCATCTAGGTACAACTAAAATGCCCTCCCATTTTTCTGTCCTTATTTTATTGAGAGTTCTTGCTATCAAACTGAATGGTGGAAAGGCATAAAAAAAAAGAAATTCCATGGAATCGTAAAGGCATCTATGGCTATAGAGTTAGGATCATGTTTCCATGAAACAAACTTATCAACTTTGGCGTTATTGGTTGATGCAAACAAGTCTACTTCCGGTTTTCCCCATTTCTGTACAATATTCTCAAATTTTCTACTGTCCAGACTATATTCAGTTTCTATAGCTTTGAAGCGTGACTCTTTATCTGCCAAGGAATTATCTTTAGATTTAATGTAAGTGGCAAAAATGTGTAGATCTCTTAGTTCACACCAGTTCCAAATTTCTCGAGAAATCTTGCTCAATAGACCACATCTTACTCCACCCATTTTATTTATATATGATATTGCTACTTTATTGTCTACATGCAGTAAAATACTACATGAAGATAATTCTTTGGCAAAACATTTTAATGAATAGAAAACTGCCTTGAGCTCTAGAATATTGATGTGTAACTTAATTTCTTCACTTGTCCAAAATCCATGTGTGCTGATATCTGCACAAACTGCACCCCATCCAGATGGTGATGCATCTGAAAAGATCTCTAAGACAAACTTTTTATTTACTTCCAAGGATTGACTAGCTGACATAATGTTTCTCAACCACCACCTCAATTCATTTCTACATTTTTCTCTTATCTTCATTATTTTATCATAATTATTATTTTTATACAAGGCTATTGTCTTTTCTTTCTCCAAAAGCTTTGTGTGTACCCAACCGTACTTAACAGCTGGTGAAATTGAGGTCAAATATCCTATTACTTTTGCAAACACCCGGATTTTACAAGCAGGTTTATTCATGATATGATCAATCTCCTCAACAATCTTTTGTTTCTTTTCTTCTGAAATGGAAATTGACATATTTCTGGAGTTGTAAATGAACCCTAGAAACTTACAAGACTGACTTGGGATAAGGCAACTCTTTTTATAATTTATAATAAACCCCAGTGATTCTAAAAATGTTAGAGTATTGATTGTTTTTCTGTGGCTGTTTTCATAAGAATCTTCAATGATCAATATATCATCCAGATAATTTATGCATAAAAGGCCATCAGACCGCAATGCCTGCATAACAGGCTTGAAAAGCTTTGTATATACATATGGGGCTGAGGAAAGGCCAAACGGCAAGCAGGAAAATTCGTATACTTTGTTATCAAAACTAAATCTCAGGTACTTTCTGTAATATATATCAATTGGTACCAGGAAATATGCGTCCTTAAGGTCAATTGAGGTTAAGTAACATTCTTTAAAAATTAAATTGTGAACTGTCTTATAATTTTCTAATTTGAAATGTTCTAGTATTATGAACCTATTCAAGTTCTTTAAATTAAGAACAAACCTATACTTTTTATTTGGTTTTGAAATCAAAAAGTAAGGTGACAAGAATTGGTCCTTAACTGGAACACATTCTTGTATGGCACTAATGGTAATTAGTTTTTTAATCTCCAAGGCCATAAGCCTATGGTTAGTTGCTGATAATGGTAAGTTTTTTGGAACCCTCAATTGAGTGGGTCTCCTATTAAAAGGTATTTTATAACCAGAGATCCACCCTAATACAACTGGATTAGTTGTCACCTTTGACCATTCTAGGATGAATTGACCAAGTCTGCCTGCATACTCTACCTCTACTGCCCAGGCTGATACTGCTGACGAGTCTGATACTGCTGACGAGGCTGATACTGCTGACGAGGCTGATACTGCTGACGAGGCTGATACTGTTGATAGTCTTGGTGTGATCTTCTCCTGCTCCCATCTCTTCCCCCTTCCTTCTTTTTTCCTTTCATTTTCTGCTTGTAGTTGCTGCGCTTGTAGTTTAAATAATTCTTAGTACTGGTGCTAGGTGCAACTTTCAATTCAATTTTCATCTTTTCAGCCTCCTGTAGCTGCTTAATGCCATTACTTAAATCATTTCCAAATAAATGAACATCAATTTCACTAGAGTTCAATAATTTGTGTAATTTGAAGTCAACTGCAGGAATTATGCCCATTCTGCGATGACCTGATAATCTATAATGAACTCTGGTAAACATCTTAGATGCATCTGAGAGTGTTGACAATAATTCCCTCTTTTCCAAAAACTCCATGGCCATTATTTGGTTGAAAGCCTCACCCAAAATACTCAAACCCAAACCTAATTGGTCCTGTAATTTACTGGTGAAAATATCTTGTTTGAGTGATCGTTCAGAGAGCACTGCCTGAATCTCTGGATTCAGAATGGGGGCTTTCAAATGAGGGCAATTTGTGGAAAAATTCCAACATTCCAAAAGTTTTGTTTCTTGGTCCTTGTCAAACCCTGCTTTTAAAAAACTTGTCCACCTTGAAACCAGCGGCGGAGGCAAAGCCTTCCCTTCTACTAGTTGTTTGGTAGGGTCCGTTCCTAACACATCATCCATGTCATCCATGGGGGCTATGTTTTCATCCATGGGTGTTGTATTTTGTATTTCTCCCAGGGGTGACCTTGGGTGCCATTCCTCCACTGACCTCTCTGAGTCACTATAGGAGCTCTCAGATTCTGAGCCTGTCAAAAACAAAAATTGAAATATTAGAATTCAATAATGATTCTCTACTATTTTCTGTTGTTCTCATATATGGACAGTGGTCTGTATAGAGCTGGATTGTACTGCAAAGCAGGCTGAGCTCTCATGATCATGATTATATATAAAAAGAATCATAACCCAATCATGTCCACTGCAAAGCAGGGACGTTGATTGTTCAAGTGTTCATTGGGTACCTATACTCCATACCCATACACAACATCAATTCCACTGCAAAACAGGGATGATGTTGATTGTTTCAGGTGTTCATTGGATATTCATTGGGTCTATCACATACCCATGTACAACATCGATTCCACTGCAAAACAGGGATGATGATTGTTTCACCTGACTTATATCATTAGTTCCATCGCAAACGAGGACTAGATGATATGAATTATTTTAGCGGCTACATGTGGTAATCTATGGCGTCATTGTGGCGTGGTCTTCATAACCTACAACAATTCGTTTTCATGATCAACTTACTTGACGATCCTAGTCGTTCTAGTTTGGATTCCAATTTCCTGAACTTTTCTTTAAGTTTGATATATTCCTTTGACTTCCTCTTCGGCATATTTTTTCCGTTTTAAAGTTATAATTATCGAACGCATGTACTCTTCCGTCGACATACAATTTCGCAATGAGGTGACAGATGACAGTAACGACGGGACACCGAGATGTAGAGGCGCGTTTCTTTGAATGTACTGTATGATTCTTCGACAGCAATGGAGCACACTACACTCGTGACCTACTCGAAGGAACCATGAAGTATAATCATGGTGCTGTGCTGCTTGAAGTGATAAACAAGCCAACACACGATTTTTTCTTTCTTCATAGTTAGAACATTGCTAACAGTAAACTTTTAGCCTCTGACAGGATTTCTTGCGATGACCAGCGAGAACGTTGCTAGTATTAAGAGAAAGATATATACCAGGTACTCTAGTATTAAGTAGTAAATTGCAGTAAAATCGGAACGATAAAATATACTGGGCAGTAGTGTTCGGGAATATCGGAACATGCTCGCCTACTTCCCTAAAAATCCCTACTTGTTCTTGTCAGTTATGTCATTGTTTTGTTATAAATGTCAATCTGTCATTCATTTCATCAAATGAATAATAAATACATTTATTATTATTTATTATAATAAGTTATAATAGAGTAGTGCAATGAGAGAGTGGAATAAATAATGGAAAATTGGCGTATAAAAAAGAGATCATGGCCATAGATTTGCATGTAGATTGTGATAATTTCGTCAGTTGAGGTCTCATTTGTTTTTTTTACATATAGGACAAAGTTGTAGCACAAACAATTCAAGATGCATTTTTCCATTCCTGATACCCAAGAATTGAATGAAGGAAATGGGTCAACATTCATTGTATGTACTATCTCTGACAAATGTAATGAATATTCAATAGGTTTATTTCAGGGATACAACATTCATATCAATGGTATTTTTCACTGTACAGTCAGGTACAAACAACTGCACAATTTGAATGAACAGTTGAAAAAAGGATTTGGCAATGAGGCAGTCCCTGCATTTCCACCTAAAAAGTTACTTCCTCTCACTGGTGCCCAACTAGAGGAAAGAAGAGTGCAGTTAGAGAAATACATTCAGACAAGTAAGACATCAATCAATATAATTATGTTCTTTGAATGTTTGTAAATCTTCAACTTTGACATCTCTTCAAGACATCCTCAATATCAGTGACTCTTATCATCCTTGTGTAAGGTTATTCAATTTTATCTGTTTATATATATGGTCTGTTTCAGTTGGTCAAGATTCAAGATTAGTAACTTCAGAATTGATAATAGGCTTCTTACTATCTGCTCAACAAGAAACAACATGTGAGAAGAAACAGGATATTAATTTAGATATCTACACCATGAATAATTATCAGATACCTGTCTGGGTTTCTTCTTTTGACAGAACAGAACAAGTGCTAGCCACAGCATTCAAATATATAAACTTGCCATTAGAGTATTTAGACTATTTTTCCCTTTATCTTGTTAAAAAGGATAATAGTGGAGAAATTATTGTATTAAGGAAGCTCCTGGATTTTGAGTCTCCATATATATCTCATAAACTTCAGAGGGATGCTAACAAGATAGTTTTGAGAAAAAGGTAGGTGAAGTAGTTTTATTTATTGCAATGAAATGAAATGTTCATTCCTTTCAGTTATTGGAACACTAATTATGATTTTGAACTGATGAATGATCCAATAGCACTTAACCTGCTATATGTCCAAACAGTCACTGAGGTTGAGAAAGGCTGGATCTTCACCAGCAGAGAAATTAAATCTAGATTAACTAGCCTCCAAGTTAGTTTAGCTAAACGTGAATATATTGAAATTGCTCAATCACTGAAATACTATGGATTCATGCAATTCTTACCATGTTTTTGTGATTATCCAAAACCAGAAACTAAAGTTCTTATAGCAATTGGGAACCAAGAGTTGAGTATGAGGATACCTGGAACAGGACAAATGGTTAAGGAGGGTAGTTTCAAGGTTACAAGGATGAGGTGTTGGAGAATCACAGCTACACATGTAAGTCCAGTGTGCATATTTCAGATAGGTGATTAAATCAGCCCATTGTAAGTGAGAAAAAAAATTAAAAAAAAAAAATAGCAAATCTATAATAATGCCTTTGATGATGAACTCATAAACTGCTTGTGGCAACAAACTAATTATCCCAATCTGCATACCTACATGTAATTAATTCATTTCAGAATAAACAGGATATGGCAGCAAATAGTAGATGCAGTACAAACTCTAGCCTAGAATTATCATTTGAATATCTCATGTCAAAAGACAAATTGCAATGGATAACCATATCAAGTGAACAAGCAATTTTGATGTCAGTTTGTTTACAATCACTTGTAGATGAGTTACTGTTGAACAGAAATGGTGTGAAGAAAAAATATCTTCCTGGTACAAGGAGTAGCTGGTCATATATGAAGAGAGATGGGTCAAGCCAGTTGATATCTATTGATGATGTCAGTTTAGACAATAAGGTTGGTTCATATCATATCTCAACATTGAAGAGTCGTAACAAAATAGTGTTTTTCAGATTGATGACACACAGGAAGGTAATTATGAGGAGTCTTTCTCAATAAAGAAATTGCAGGAAAAATTTTCTAGTGTGTCTTTTAAAAATGGACGGGAGTTCATAGAGAATCATGCATTTGAATGTATAGGAGATGATGATTTATAGTAATCTCCTGTTATTTGCTCAAGGGTATTTCATAACTTGCTGAAAACTTGTTTTTCATTCTGAATTATGGAGAGATCTGTCCACATGATTCTTTCATTCAGTGTACCAGATAATAATTGGCAACAAGCAAATTTTGAAGAGGTTCTCCTCAGTCCATAACTTGTGCCAAATCTACAGGTAAAAGTAATATATTTTACTAATGTGGTGGTTTATTACATAACTGTATTTTAGATATTGCTATCTTGTATACAAATTGATAAATATGTGCGAATTCCCCATAATGAAACTTACATTTTTTATTTAGTACCTGAAATCATTGTATGTGAAGAAATCACAAAAAACACTCTCAATTTTTAACCTTAGATAACATTTTTAACATTTTATACTTTTTACATAAGTTGCTCATATGTTTATACATATTTACTTGTATACAGACATGCATTGATGCATGTGAATAAAGATCTGGAAATGATGTCTTTCTTTGAAAACCACAGATTTAAGGTCTTGAGGAAAATTGTACTGTGCTAATCAGTATTCTGTTTGAGAGCTAAGGCACAGGCTTTTAAGAAAAATAAATAGTTGTGTTATGAAAGAGTGCCAACTCAACAACAATAAAAATTATGTTATTTCTGATGCAATGACTGAAAGCCAAAACATTTTTGCACAAACATTTTTCCTTGAATATCTAATATTCTTCTGAATCAATATCAATCTTGAGCATTTTCAACAGATCCTTTTAGGTAGTAGTGGTAGTATATGTAGTTGGTATGTATAAACCTAAAAATTTCACATAAGATGGTAATTTTTAAATGGAACACCCTGTATTTTATTTTCCCAATCAATAGAGCTCTTTCTTCTGATTCCAAATATATATACTTTATTGAGGTTATTTTTTGTCAGTTCTTAAAAAATTTAGATTTTTTGGTATAGCTAAGCCTTATAATCTATATTTTCCGAAAACTGACAGACATAACCTTAATAAAGTATATATATTTTTGAAATCAGGAGAAAGAGCTCTATTGATCTAAAAAATACCATCTTATGTAAAATTTTCAGGTTTTCATATTTTTTTGCCTTTTCTAGTTATAGATTCTGAATGCTTATAGAAAATGATTCATTTTTGCCCCTTCGAACGTTTCAGTAAGACCAATATTAACTGAGGTAGCTATTGAGTGAAATATAAATGATCACCCTTTACATTCTGTGGCCATCGACCTTACGAGAGGTCCTCCAGCACATGTGTGTTTTGTGCAGGCTTTGTTATTAATTAATTAATTTATAATTCTAAATATTCTCTGCTCTGTCGGGGATTCGAAGCTAGCAACCTTTCGATGTTCTGATTACTAGCTAGCGCCTCAACCACTGTGCTATTTCGCCGTCTTCTTCTAGGTATTTCAAGTATTTTTTTTAATCTTGCTGTTTAGAAAATGTTACCAGATCGAGATTTTGTAGACAATCACAATGTAGAATACTTTGAACAATCTTTGAACAATTGAATTTCTAATGTAAAAACTTCACAAACGATAAGATTTCCACAAAATTCTCAAATACACGACATGTTTCGCTAACACAGTAGCTTCGTCAGGTGATATACTGGTACAATGAACTAAACTAACGTTGACTTGCTTAACTTTTATATATCTTACTTTCCCAACCTGAAGGATTAGTTACCTGTGGACAGGTACGATAAACCTCCATTTTCGGAAATTAGGCACAAAATCTACATTTAAATACATAAAACATGTTTTCTTAGTAAGTAATAATATGTATTTGCTATCAACTCTTTCAAGTTAATCCGGTATACCGTATTTTAATGTAGATATTGTGCCTAATTTCCGAAAATGGAGGTTTATCGTAACTGTCCACAGGAAACTATAATCCTTCAGGTTGGGAAAGTAAGATATATGAAAGTTAAGCAAGCCAACGTTAGTTTAGTTCATTGTACCAGTATACCCAGCGAGCACAAAAACATCTCAGAGATGTTAAAAGTACGAGATTTCGAGACATTGAATCTCCACTGCGATGTTCTGTTCACACATGAATAGAACTATTATAGAACAGCCAATGTCCGCCGCAGGCGGCAATTATCGAGATGTCCTTGATATGTCACAAAACTACCTTCTCCCTAGTTCTTTTTAAAGCCTTTTCATGGACACAACAAAACATTTTCAACGCGTCTTGCGCACATTAAATCGCTGTAAAAAAACATTTTCGAAGTACTTTTCTAAAGCCTTTTGTCAAAATGAACTTTTGCATTAGGATTCCATTTTCCTTGAATGAAAAAATGCATTAAAAATAGATTGAACATAAAAATATTTTCTTGATATGAAATTACCTTCTTAATCGGTTTCTGAGTAGTGCTTACTACACACAGACATATAATTGGAAATAGGTTTCCCAATTTTTGAAATGTTCTCCACAATGCATAATTTTGCAACTGCGGAGAAGCTGTGTATTGATAAATTCGTACTTTTATATATTGATCACACTGAGGCACCGAACAACACATCTTGCATCTGATGGTCAATGGTCATCATTACAAACTAAATATGTCTTCTAACACAATAAACTCCACCAAATTCCTTTCTGTTCGTTAGCAGCGTGATGTAAGCGTGACACGCTGCAAACGCGAATGCCAATTGCGAACAAGAAGAACAAAATCGAAAACAAATCAGAATTCATCGTATTGTGACGTAAGCATGAGACGTTGTGGTGGGGCAAACAAAGAAAGGGCACAAAAGAACAAAAACAATACTTTCAATATCCTTCTAAGACCTCTTAGGGAAGTGCATATCTCGCCTCAAAAAAATATCCTCATGCCTACATTTCTAAAACATCCCAAAACATCCCAGGGATACCTCTCAGTAGGCAAACAAAGAAATGCCACAGAAGAACAAAAACAATACTTCAATATCCTTCAAAGACCTCTTTGGTCAGTGCATATTACATCTCAAAATAACATCTTCATGCCAACATTTTCAAAACATCCCAAAACATCCCAGGGATGTTTGTGCTCGCTGGGTATCACCTGACGAAGCTATACTGTGTTAGCGAAACATGTCGTGTGTTTGAGAATTTTGTGGAAATCTTATCGTTTGTGAAGTTTTTACATGTGTCATGGATTTCTATCGAGTAACGGCCGAGTCAATTCAAAAATTGAATTTCTGATCATAAATGTTGATTTATTATAAACCTTGATATTCAGAATTTTAAGTGGCATTGAACTACTACACAAGGATAAATAAAACGAATATCGATATGCTTGCCAATTTATTGATTCAATTAACAGTAAGTATAAGTACATAGAAATATATTACATATAAAATAATTTCTACTACAGGTAGTGATAATTGCATATTCCACATTAAGTGAATATTGTCAGTTAATTTCATGTACATCACAGAGAGAAACATGTGATAGGGTAGGTAGGTACTTAGATGAGAGCATAAATATTATGATATGATCTTTTGAAGCTATGCAATATTCCATGCTCTCATTCCTAATCTATAGGATGGCCATCCAAAACGACCCATCTCTAAAATCTCCAACCAACGATTCACAGTCTGATGATATTTCCTTTTGTGACCCTCAACTCAAATTAATTAATTGAGAATATATCCTGTCTAGGATTGAACTTAGAGATATGGAGTCGAGGTAGATCGTTTAGAAGTGATATTCTTGATATGATATGAATATACCAGGGATAAAGTTTAGGAAGGGACAGTGAACATAGAAAGAGGCATCAATGGCCAAAAGGTGGTACAGCAACATACAGGCTAAAATGCAAGTGGTATGCAACTAGATATTTGAAGTTTATGAAAATACTCAGATACTTCAACCTTTCATAATTTTTGTCCAGATTATATCAGCCAATTTTGGGCCCTATCAATTTAGCTGATATAAATATATTCAGCTTTTTTCTGAAGTGTAGTTAAATTGACTACATTTATTGTCATTGTACTGAAGGCCAACTTGAGCGGTGCGTGATAAAAATATTTCATAAATTATTTTGAGAAAAAGTTTCACAGCTTTTATAATATATTTTCAGATATTCCACTTATCTCAATGCTGGCCTATGATCCACTTTATGAAGTAATGTTAACGAAATAATCGTTGGGAGTATATAAAACATCAGATTATTGTCCGATCACCACATCACATCTATTATGTACCAATAAGTCATTTAATTTGATCCAAGATATGGCACATTCTGGGTAATTCACAATCATTTCATTTCATCTATTAATAATTTGGTGACACGGATATTCATTCAAGCTTGAAGTGATAATGCATAAGCATTTGACTTTTTTGTACTTTGTATTTCTTGTAATAACTCACCAATTCAGAGCGATATTTGGAAGGATATGGAAAATTCTTTAGGTACCAAATCTTTCAACCTCTCAATTTATACAGTGTTTACCAACTATCCAGGAAGACTTAGTTAAACAACTATCATTATCAGCTAAAATATTCTACTTATCCAAATCATCTACTAATTTACGTTTACATATTTGTTTTATAAAATTCCATGTCTTATACTGAAGATTTTTACAAGGTTGAATACATGTTTGGGTAACAGTAGGGAACTACATTTACAATTTGAATAGACTATTGTAATAATAATTTGTTGTCGAGGTTTCTCATTCATAAATAGATCAATACAGGTAACAAGAGGAATGTAATAAACTTTCGAGGTTGCAGTTTTCAGAACACTAATTTCCATATTATTATCCAAGAGTTCACGTGAATGCATTTCCTTCTTCTCAATTCATTTAAAAAATTGGCCATTCGATGACTAAAAATATGGAAAGTCCTGACTGAAAGTAGGAAAAGTATTTCTTAAAATGTATTAGATATGTATTCACGATAGATAACTTGTTCTGAATACTGTCAACATATATATGGGTAGGTATAACCTACCTGATAATATTTTCCAATTTCACCACTCGGTTATTAACCCAATCGTAATCTATGAAGGGTGTCCCGAAATTACATAGGAAGATTTCAACCACAGACTCTATGAACAAGTGAAAAAAAGTTCATATACTTGGGTCCAGAAATGCCATTCTGGGAGGTTATTATAGCCATCTGAATCAGAACCTGAGATGATATGGTTTTATGGGAATATTTTTGAAAGCCTCTGTGATAAAATAACCAAATTTTTTATAAGTACATAACTTTTCATGCCCGATTTTTCCGATATTTTGATTAGGGGCGTATGAAATGGGTGGGGCTAGGGGCACTTTTCCGCCAAACTTTTTGTTTTTGCGATTTTCGGCAGTT